ATCGTCGTACCACGCGGTCAAACGCAATGCGCATGCTCACAGTCTATGTTGTCGTTTCCAGGAATACACGGCTTTTACTATATGTTTACTAGTGGAGAAAAAGAAAAGAAAAATTAAGAAAAATACTTAAAAGATAAGCTTTAAAATCTTACAATTTGCAGTCCTATTCGAGATAAATACATTCTGAGTTTCACACTTAAAGTTAAGCTTTCTCAAGTAAGTTTTTACAGTTTTTCTCGACGTATATTTACAAACGCCGGCTTTACGCTCGATAGTACTACGATACGTTTTCTACGCTGTCATGATCTTTCCTCCTCAATTATTTATTCTTTTATTGCTTGTGATAAGTGGGTTTCTTTGTGAAAAAAGGAAGAACAAGGACAGAACGCATGAAACAGCCTAAATGTTCGGATGAAAAACAGAATCTTCGAAGAGTTGACAGGTTCGTAGCTCGTGCTGGTGGAGTTGCATTTAACTCTTGGATTTGCTTGTACCACCTCTACGAAATCCAAAAAGCTGACAGAGTATGTTCTTGCCCTTCGTCCTGGGGTCATAGTCCAAAGCTCTCTCCTCAGAGAATTCCAGAGCGTCTTCATACACTTTTCGATGAAATTGGGGAAAATATTGAAGCTTACAAGCCAGGAACAAGATGGCGTAACTTGTGCAAAATGAAAGCAGATTCTGTGTTTCAAGGACATAGTGCATTCCAATCCTCCAAGAGAAGGAAGGTACATTTATAGTCCGGAAAAAAACTAATTAATATATGAACTAATTTACCGGTATGCATATAATTATTAGCAAGCCTTCAATGCACAGGGACATTTGGGGAATAAAATAAATATACACACCGGAATGGCTAACAAGACTGGTGGCAAGTTATAGGATGAGTAAGAAGGACTGAGTAATGGGATGAAATGTAGATGAACAAATTAATGCATAAGTGCTTTGAAATTAAATGCTATTCATAATACATTTTTTCATTAGACAAGCACTAGCCAGGAAATGACAGAGAGTCAGGGAACACCAACAAGGACACTCACAAGAGTAAGTCATTCTGATATCTTCAATTCAGTATTGTCCTTCTATGACCCATTTTAAAAGCACTTAATAATAGTTAATTTTTTCTATTCTTTTCTTTACATTTTTTTCTTTCTTACTTTTTGTTTTGTTTCAGATTATGCAGTTTTCTAATTCTCCAGTAGAAATGCTATGCCAGTCAATGGAAAAAGCCAATGAAATTCTAACAAATGATGGTGGGAGCTTTGATGAAATTGCATTGTGTAAAAGAGCACTCTCGTCAATTAAAAGTCACTTCCAGAACCTTTTCACTCGTCTGAAACTACTCTGTGAACAACATGGGATTATCATTGTCCAAGGAATGTCAAATTGGAATGTAATAGACACTTGCTTTGGAACAATACAGATAAACACTCAAGGGGATGTTTTAATAGATAGTTGTGTTTGGGAA